TTTCGAATTTCTAATGGTGGGGGTACCTTTTCTAATTTTCTAAGACTAGTCAATAGGAAAGTCCTATGGCTAGACCTAGGCTACTAAAGAAGTTTTCTAGACCTCAACCAAAAGTGAGGTCAACAATGCATAAAATGAGGGAGATCAGGAAAATTTTGAAGAAAAGAAAGAGGTGGAAGAACTTCATGAGGATGAAGAAGAACCCCTTATTTGTGTCTAAGAAAAATAATTGATTACTCCTCGTCAACCAATCTATTCACAACGTCATGCAATCTTTCGAACCAAGTGTATGATTAATGGAAAAGTGTGTGATCTACTTGTTGATGGTGGATACACTGAAAATATCATCTCTAACTTTGTGGTACAGGCTCTCAATCTCAAAACTAGTAAGCATCATAAATCATACAAGATTAGTTGGGTGAAACGAGGTATTGATGTCTTAGTAACGGATATTTATCATGTCACATTCTCCATTGGGAAATATGTTGTTTGTGAGGTACTTTGTGATGTTTAGACATGGATGTTTGTTATTTAATTATCGGTCGACCTTGGTAGTTCCATATAGGAGCACTAAATGAATGTCGTCCTAATGTCTGCTCTTTTGAATGAAAGGGAAAGATACTTTAGGTACTTTCAACACAACATTTTACATACTACCAACAACCATGAAAAACCGAAAAGATGTGCAATTTCTAGACTAACGACTTAAATTCCTTAAAAGAATCAGCTATTTTTTTAGCTCTTATAGTGAACGAAAGTAACAGGGAGTCAACGATAGCAAAGCCAAAGAATTATAAGATTTACTTGAGTAATTCAAGGATAGGGCCCACTGAATTACCGTCCATGTTGCCACTTATACGTCCCATTCAACATTAGATTAACCTTGTTTCAAATGCCTCTCTGCCCAACCTCCCACATTACACAATGAGTTCAAAAGAACATCAGATTTTACAAGGTATAGTCAATGAATTGTTAGAAAAACAATTCATTCAGCACAGTATGGGCCCTTTGCAATATTCCAGTATTATTGGCGCCAAAGAAAGATGGTCAATTACGAATGTGTGTGGATAGCAATGCAATTAATAAAATCACTGTCCAATATCACTTTCTGATTATTACTTAGAAGATATGTTAGATGAACTATCTGGCGGTACAATATTTTCCCAGTTGGGTCTTCGTTGCAGATATCACCAAATTCGCATTAGGTTGGGAGATGAATGGAAGACCACCTTCAAAAGTCATGAGAGCCTTTAAGAGTGGAATGTGATGTCGTTTGGGTTATGCAATGCACCTAGCACTTTTATGAGGCTCATCAACGAGATACTCAAGCTATTTTTAAATGTTTTATGTGTCATTTACTTTCATGAAATATCAGCATATAGCAAATCTTTTGAAGAGAACATGCAACACATTTATTCAATCTTTATGGTTCTTCGGTCTCATAAAATTTACCTCATTACATCAAAGAATGAATTTGCTTTACCGAGTGTTCATTATTTGAGCTATGTGATTTCAGCAAAAGGGGTACAAATGGGCTCCAAAAAGGTTTCATCCATTAAAGATTGGCCAATTTTGTCATCTCTATCTGAGGTGCGCTATTTTCATGATTTGGCAAAATTTTATCGTTGTTTTATTAAAGGTTTCAGTAGTATTCTCGCACCAATTATTGATTGCTTGAAAAATAAAACATTTCATTAGTGAGGTGAACAACAACACAGTTTTGGAACTATTAAGACAGCTTTAATAACAGCTCCAGTTTTGGCCTTACCGAACTTTGACGAACCATTTCATGTGGATGTTGATGCTTCTTCTATTGGCATTGGAGCTGTTATTTCTAAAGAATGGCGGCCCATTGCATTTTTAGTGAAAAACTAAGACCAGCAAGGCAAAAGTGGCCATCCTACGAACACAAATTGTATGTAGTGGTTCATGTCTTAAAACAATGGGAAAATTATCCTCTACATCAGGATTTTCTTTTATGCATTGACCATCAATCTTTACAATACCTCAATTCTCAAAAATCATTGAGTAGGATCCGCACTCGTTGGGTTTTATTCTTGCAAAAGTTTAGTTTGGTGATTAAAAACAAAGCCGATTTACAAAACAAGGTTGTTGATACTCTCAGTCGAAAGTTAGCACTTCTGACAACCTTAAAAACACAAATTACAGGTTTGGAATCTTTGCAAGAACTATACAGTGACGATGCTGATTTTTCTGATCCATGTAATAAATGCCACTCTTCTAAATTGAATGGAGAATATTCCATTCTCCATGGCTATCTCTTTTGAGGTAACCAGTTATGTATTATGAATACCTCTTTATGCTTGCAATTGTATAAGGAAGTGCAGGCTGGCAGTATAGGAGGCCGTGTAGGGTGCAAAAAGACTTTGGCTTTGTTGTAGTCCATGCTTTTTTGGTAGCACTGACGACGTGACGTTATACGCAATGTTGAAAAGTGTCATATATGTCAAACTTACAAAGAGACATCTCAAAATACAAGATTAATTTACCATTATCGGTCCTGAATTCCATATGGGAAGATGAAAGTATGGACTTTGTTTTGGGTTTATTGCGAAATAAACGAGATATTGATTCTATTATGGTAGTAGTGGACAGATTCTCAAAAATGCACATTTCATTGCTTACAAGAAGACTTCTAACATGCTTCACATCGCTCAGTTATTCTTCCATGAAATAGTGTCTTCTTGAGCTATCTCGTAGCATTACTTTGAATAGAGATGTAAAATTTATTAGTCTCTGGCATGAATTATGGAAAAGGTTACAAAACGAATTCCGATTAAGCTTCGTATCACCCACAAATGGGTGGACAGACCGGGGTGGTAACCCGCACTGTAGGAAATATGTTGCATTGCTTTGCTCAAGCTCATCCAAAACAGTGGAACAAATTCATTGGTCAAGAAGAATTTGCATATAATTTCATGCAAAATAACTCCAAAAGTAAGTATCATTTTACTATAGTTTATATTAAGCCACCAAACCATACTTTTGATCTCGCAGTTCTATCAACGTGCAAGAACATTCTTGTTGGCGAAATGGCTACAATGCTAAAATTTTAGAAGATGTACATTCCAAATTGCTAGAATTAAACAGTAAGTATAAACAAGAGGCAAATCTTCATAAAAGATGAGGCTTTTGATCCAAGTGATCTGGTTATGGTGCGTCTCAGCAAATAATGCTTCGTGCCTTGCACATATTCCAAATTAAGTCCCTAAAAATTTGGACGATTTCCTGCGACTACATGAATTAATGACAATGCTTATTTCATAGCCTTGTCGTCGGACATGAACCCCTCGTCAACATTCAATGGGTCTGACATCTACACTTATCACCCACCTGATGAAGTTACAACCCAATTGACAACCAGTTTGGATCCTTTTGAAATAGGGGAAGAGTGATGTGGAAACATCTTAGCTCATGCGAGTCTACAAAATATTTACCTTTATTTTTTTGTTATTACTTTTCCATTTATATTTGGAAGTATTTTCCATATCAAGAATTTACAGATTTATTTTATCCTTAAGACATAATATGCTATACAAGTCGGTATATATAATTGTACAGCGAATATTGATACAAAATTTAGATATTTTGGCTTCTATATAGAATTTATTTTCTCTGTTTTGTTTTCTCCCATTGCAAGTACCTCGCCAGAAATTGTCATACATATAATTCCAACATATTTTTGTAATAAAATTAGTGAGATAAATACCAAAATAAATACAAGAAAGAACATGTAGATTTTACGTGAAAAACTCAGGATCATAAATACCACGAGCAGCGAAAGAGAATTGACCATGTCAAAAAAGAAATTGTAAGTAAAGAGTGTTGGCTAACATAAAACCGAACTAAAGAAAAAGAGAGTTATATTTTGTATAAACAAAATGAAGTATTTATAGATTTTTGCAATACTCCTTTAAGGAATAAGAGGGGCCAATAAAATAAAAGCATATGAATTGTAATTTAAAGACAATTATAAGATTAATGAAACGGTAAAGGCCTTCAATCCATGTGCTCAAAGTTTTTTTCTAGGGTTCCATTATGTGTGTTTATGAGACAAGCAAGACACAAAACTTGGATGACGAACTTAGCAATTTTCAAAATCAAGCAATAACAATATCCAAAGTACTTGAGAAAGGAATGACACAAGATTCTCCATATGAAGACCTTGCAAAAAATGTAGCAAGAATCATCCTGTAGAAAGCTCACCTCTCCTTGATATGAGGATCTAACATCATCTTTACCCTTTATTTCATCTTCCAAGTTACATCTGACCTGAAATTTGACTAATTTTTTGTTGATTGGTACTGATGCAAAAAAAACAGAAATCAATTAAACAATGCATGGATGAATACAACAATATATAAATGAAAAATAAAGAAGCGTTTGGGGCAAATCTTGAAGAGCTTGACACCGAACTACATCCGTTCATAATAATGACACACTAATCTAGAAGCGCACAACAAAACTCCACCGATATTTGTTTTTATTTTATTAACTTCATAATGATTTGGTTGTAGCAGGAGATTGATATTATTCCTTCTAAGAACCCGAATATTAGTATGTAAATAGGAAATAAATCAGTAGCATGCGTAATTCTCCTTATAAATAAATGGCAATTGTTATTACAAAACCTGTTTTGTTACTTGTTGAACACTTCGTGGGAAGTCACTAGCCTTTGCAAAAATGTTGAATCAAGAATAGCTAGCGGCCAAAGTGTTGGATCATGAATAGTTTCATACCACCTAGGTAAGAGCTTGTTAAAGGAGAATAGTAGAAATACAGCAAAATTCTCTCTAAGATTGAAGATGAAATAGGCAAAGTCTGGTATAATTTCTTCTACTCAAGAGGCATAAAGAGAGAAAAGATCTCCTCACCCCATGGATAGTCTCCCCTATGTATAGGTTTGCGTTGGCCCCCCAAAGGTGGATACATAAATGGCTATACCGAAAATGAAAAATACATCAAGATAGGAGTATTTTGTAGTTGTGCATATAGCATTGTTTGACTATGAGGCGAGTTGATGAAGCCGCTCAACTTGTCGAATTTATTGTTGGGTGGGGTCCGGTTCTAACTATTCCTGCCAAAGCTAAGTAAAAAAAAACAAAAAACCGCACTTTTTTTTTACTGCCAACCGTTCCCGCCTCTTACTTTGGAAGAGGCGTGCCTCTTTGCTTTAGTTGGCCCCACCACCACAAATGCAAGCAAAAAAAGAAACCGTGGACTCTTCTTGAATTGCAGGAAGAAAGATTTCTTGTTTTGTAAAAAGATAGCAGGAGTTCTTGTTTACGGAAAAGGCAACATAAGGAGTTCTTGCTTGTGGCTTGCGGCAAAGGCAGAAGAAGTAGTTCTTATTTGCGACAAAGGCAGAAAGAAGAAATTAGTTTTGAAAAGGTGCAAGCAGGCAGAAGAAATCGCAAGGTGTGCTCTCCCCAGTTCTTCTTCTTCTTCTTCTTCTTCGATGTGATCTCCGGTAGAGAGAGAGAGAGGAAGTGAAAAGTTCTTGTAATCTTGTAATCGTCGAGGTGATCGACGACGGTGTACTTTATTCAATTAATAAAATCCTCTACAATTCTGTGGATATAAACAATTTGTCGAACCACGTAAATCTGTGTGTTTTTTTCTGATGTGAATTTTCTCGTTCTATTTTTCACTTCGTCGTAGATCGTTCTATTCTATTTCAATATATCACAATAAATGGTATCAGAGCCAATGGCTGCAGATGAAGTGAATCTTTCAGATATCGAGAAATTTCATAACATTGATTTTGGTTATTGGAGGATACAGATATAGGATTACCTCTAGGGGAAGAAACTTCATCTTCCGTTATTAGGGAAAAGACCTGAAAGGATAGATGAAGCTGAATGAAATCTGTTGGATTGACAGGTTCTGGGGGTTATTCGGTTAAATCTCGATCGAGTTCTGTTGCACACAACATCGTCAAGGAGAGAACAATTACAGATCTTATGACAGTCATGTCAGGTATGTATAAAAAGTCATAGCCGAATAACAAGGTATATCTGATGAAGAAATTATTCATTTGGAAGATGGCGGAAGGTACGTCTGTTGTACAACACCTGAATAATTTTAATATCATCACAAATCAATTATCATTTGTTAAAATTGAATTTGAATATGGAATACATGCACTGATCTTGTTGACTTCATTCTCAAATAGTTGGGAAGCTATGAGGATGGCTGTTGACCTCAATTTTCGTGAGGTCTAGTATTTCTCGTAGGAGTTAGGATCTAGCCTTAGGGGTCTTCCTGCGACTATCTTAGAACCTTAGAAGTGGTGCCCGCCTTGTTT